GGCCTATATTCGTAAGGAACTCTTCAACTTGACGCACACTTTGCATTCATAGGCGATGTTTTTTTTTCAGTCATTTTATTCTACTACCTATCTGTCGGCATCGGTGGTTACCTTGTTTATGGTGGATCCGTTGGAGATGCTGTTATTCATTCTATACAGTTGCAGTGGGTGCAGCAGACGGTGATTATTCCCATAAGTACAGCCTCTTCGAGTACCGTTGAAAAAGAAGACAAAAATAATAATCTTTAGCAATAATAATCGTACTCGAACCAGACAATGTCATTCTGTAGCAAGTCACCTAATGCCTTCGTTCCCTGAAAGTGTATTTTACAGGTGAATGTGATGATCTCACTGCATGTCATTACTACGATTGTGATTGCATTTTCACCTATGACCCAACAAGTTGAAGCTCTGCTGCGAATATCTCATAGTAAGTGAATTTCATTCATAGAGTGAAAAAAAACGACAGTTATTAGCACATTTGTGATTTAGTGTTTTGGAGTTTTGGAGACAACTGTATGCGCTCTATCGAAAAAGTTGATAATGAAGGGTTATTTTGAATATCAAAGGTTTAGGTTTAACGAGGAGTTATTTTAGCAAATTTGAAAATATAATGAAAGAGCTGATATGATGCGAAAAATAGTTAATTGATTGCTTTTCATTCCATGACCAGCAAAGTCGCACCCAGAAGCAAATTCTGGACTTTGCAATGCATAATCAGTAGGTGAAGTGAAGTGAAACGAAGCATCACTTGAAAAAAACCCAACAGAAGTTCTAATTAATATCAATACAGAGATAAAGGTCGCAATATGAGATCTTGCCTGCTGCTTTAATAGATAATTCTTTCATCTATTTCTCGGGTCCTGTCTTTTCAAGCTAAGTTGTAGGCTTCGGATGGCAACGGTTCCTCGTTCGCACATTTTTATTCTGGACGCTGATTTTCGTGGCTCTCACGGTGCCGAACTTTGGACCTCTTATGGATATGGTAATTTTTTGAGCATTTATTGAGGCCAAAATTCATAGATTAAGAAAATCAGGGGAAGTCCTTTGTAGTTTGGTGCGTCGACAATGTCTATGATGACAATGATCATGCCAAGCGTATTCTATCTATATTTGAATGCGTCAAAGGCAAAGAGAGATTTGATGATTAAAAATGGGGAGATTTCAAAAGAGAGTCCAGATGAGACTAGAGCTACGCTATCAGAGTGAGTACGTTCTTCTTATTATCCCGTCACACTGCATAAATGGAACACAATAGTATTGAGCAAATCTCTGCTCATTTTTACTTTTGCAACTTTTTTCCATATATCATCATCCTGCCACACTTAGGATCTTCACGTACGTGCCGCGAGGTGTACTAATTTTCAACTGCCTTTCTCTCAGTAGGTCATCTTTTTATTAATCGTATCAGAAAGTAAAACCGAACCCTTTTTAGCTTTTGGAATCATGGGTGGTGTTGTGGCCTTTGTATTCTCCTTCAAAAAGTTGATTGGAGCAGATGTGGATCCACCATGTTACGTACAATACTTTAGGCAAGGTAAGGTTATATAGCTGATATATGTATGAATTTGTTGTTTGTTCACTTCTTCTAGGGCTTCCGTTCGTATCTACTTTTTCGGGAGCTATGAACTGTTGTGGATCG